AAATGCAGCGGGTTTAAACGTTTTAATAGGTACCAACCTTCACCCTTATCTGAAACAATAGTGTAACATCACAACAAAGAAAGACACATGTTTGTATTATAATGTTTTGACAACAAATGGTATATAGTTAAACTTTGATCGATGTATATGCCATGGTCCAGAAAATTAGACAGTCATATATGTATAAAAAAAGATGTGGTTTGATTACCAATGCGATAGATATCCACCAGAGACAAAATGACGTAGATGTTATAAATATACGTCAACCTACGACATTCAACAATGAGAAAAACTCATACTGCATTGCAAGCTATACAAGGATCCGACATGACAAATGTGAAAAATGTCAAACAACAAAACCAACGCCATGTCAGTGATTAATGTACAAAACAATTAAAAAAAGCAAATATAATATATACAACAAACGACAACCAATGAATGAAATCTATGCTTATGGTTTTGCCACTTCCACACTTCCTACATGGCGGGGTTAATATAAAAACAAGAAGATGTGGTATGATTGCCAATGAGACAACTCACCACAAGAGACCAAATGACACAGAAATTTAGAACTATAGGTCACTGTACGGCCTTCAACAAAGACCCCGAAATGACAAATGTGAAACAATTCAAACGAGAAAACTTACGTCCCAATTTATGTACAAATTATGAACGGAAAACAAATATGTTACAGAGCAACAAACAATAACAACTGAATTACGTGCTCCTGACTTGGGATAGGCACATATAGAATGTTGCACATACATAACCATGTTTGCGGGTGCCCAATCTGGGACTTTGGTGTTTAAGCGGAACACACATCAATTAAAGCGCTGTTCCTTTGCTTTTTTAATGTTTTTCATAACTGTGATTTAATAAGTTTATGATAACAATAGTCATTAAATTCATGTCCTAGTTATTAGACCTCTAAATCGTGATATTATTTAAGTATTAAACCACAGATCAATATTTATCATACTTAAGATATTCTGTATCTGACACAATTTGACAGTCCGACCTTGTTTAGTCAAGGCAACAGTAATTTGCCGATGGTCAACCTCATAAATCGATCCATAAGATACATCAAGGTAACAGAAAAACAATGAGAAAATAAAATGAAACAGCGTGAGTCGTCAGGGCAAGTGTCTCCTCTTATGCATGCATCATCACTCATACAAATCCACACACAGTCAAAATGTCAAAATCGAAAATTAGAGATTAGACGATTGTTCTGTATCAACAGATTTACGACTGCAAAAACATGTCACTAGTGAGTTGAGACACATACATACCGTATCCGTCAACCAATTCGTGATAGTGACAGTAAAACTATTAAAGTGTTGAGTTCAGTCGTTCTTCCTCATAACGTGTGTAAGGATTGCTGATAAAGAACGTGTTGTGTGAACAGGTTAACCGATAGGAGTAATGTGTTGCTGGAGATATGTAAAACGCAATACAATTAAGCAGAGGGTATGTTTATGCTGAAAAATTGGGAGTATTTGTGACAATTGAACAGGGACATTTAAAATCATCACCTTTTGTCGTAGCTTCTAGTTTGAAATCGTCCATCTGTTTCAATATCGCGGAAAATATCAAAATATGTATTGTTTATAACAATATTTCTGGGATATATGAGATGAAAGCATCCATTGAAAAGTTCGGTTATTGGGTGATAGAACAACATCAACATATCGGAAAGTGAAATTAAACAAACTCAACAAATACAAAACAGCAAGAACAAATTACCAAAACAACAGTAACATGAAATTGGAGGTGCTATCAATCACTTCAGATTTATGCTGTACCAACTATCTAATATCGACATATAACGCCATACGTGCGTGTAGTGTATATAGTATCCGTCATTGGCGCCCGAATAACAACAGTTGGGAGGATAAATCAAATACAAGAGGAAGATCATTATTCATCTAAAAATTCCAAAATATTGTGGCGAAAACGGCGAAGGTAATCTACGCCTTTGGTTAAAAACCTTAGTGTTCCGAATGATACAATATTTTTCAGAAAATTAACATATTCATGATATAACAATCATAAAACCCAAATTTGTGAACACTTAACATATACAGAAAAAGTATAGTAGATTCTACATCGGCATGACGTAATACACGTGATGCCTGTGTTGAATATACAGAGCTAGTGTGGCAGTTAGGCACTGAAATTATCGTTCTTCTTTTATCTGTTACGTTTATAAGTATAAAAGTTGAAAAGCATTCATGTTTAAAAATAGAGGCTGAAGTCACCAACGGGATGGTAAAAACTCAAAAGTCGAAGAAAAGCTGACAATGTTATGAAAAAAAAAATAATATTCGAATTGATAAACAATAAAATTGAGAATGGAAGTTCACAAAACACTACATAGGAAACTAATGACAATGCAACATGAATCCCACCGCAAACATTAGGTGATCTTAGGTACTCCTGAATGATAAGCACATCATGTCCCACATGCTAAAGTATGTCTAGTATTTTACTCGAAGTGTCTACCGATGTTCATATCAATTAATAGTGAAATATAAAAATCCATATTCATTGGATATAAACAAATTATAATGATGTTGATTCGTCATCAGTTTCACTGTTTTCTACAACGACAATATATCTAAGCTCTTCAAAAGTTGGGTTGTTATGACCTACAAATTAAAAACGAAATTAATATAAATACCTTTTGAAAAATATTGCATTACACCGATATATATGAAAAGCTGTTTATATATATATATATATATATATATATATATATATATAAAACAAAAACAATAACCTGGTGAGTGCATGCTTACAACCGTTTTGTTTTTGCCGTTTTAGATTTCATGCGATTTCATCATTATGTTTTACATAATTCATGTAAACATAATATAAATAACACATAGCTGAGAGGGTGATAGAGCAGATTGTTTCCCCGAGAAAACATTGTTAACTGAGGCGAAGCAAAGGTTGACAATGTCTTTTCGAGGGGTAACAATCTGCTCTATCACCCTCTCAGATATGTGTTATTCAATTTATTATACTGAATGTTCTGTTATTACTGTCTATTAAATTTCAAATTCGAAGTAATAAACATCTATCCGTATTTAATAAAGCACACACTTGATCAAGCGTCTTCGTGAAGGGTAATAGAGTATTTGCCATGGGATAGAGTAAATTATCTCCCTCGTATTAACCAATCAAAATCTGGCATTTTGACATGAAGTATAATAAATATATTTGTGTCATCTAATATGTACGGAGAAGACAACATTGTATTTTAAGTACAGTGTATCTTTGATGAATTAAGTGTTTTTGAAAGTAAATGTATCATACTCCAGATATAGTGTATATACTTACAAACATATAGATAACAATGGTCATCGAAAACACCTAATTAATAGAATCACACCACTTGATATGCTAACGTTTATCCTAATAGGGGTTTTCCACTCACGTAAACTTGATGTCTTTGCCATTAACCACTAGATGATACAATGATGTTTCTGGACAACCCCTTTTCCAAGCCTTAACATTTTCCTCTCTAAGCTCAGACCCAACCAATGTGTATTCATAGATCTAAACCAATCTACCAGGTTCTATAGGTAGATTACCTTAGATGTATTTGGCAAAACTTGTCGAAATTTTGGGTCATTAAGGCTCTTCAAGTTCGTACATTTCGTCTTTATTTTTTTATTCGTGCGTCACTTGTGATTTTATGTATACAAAACGCGAGTCTGGCATATTCAATTATTATCCTGGGGATGGGTTTATTGGATACTTAGAAATGTGTACTTCAGGGATTTGAGTTGTTTAGTGTACGAGTTTCTTCTTACTCAAAGGAGTTAGGTCTGCACCGCTTAAGATGTCAGCTCCAAAAACTGTTATCTATTGATTGTTTTGTCCTCTCTACTATGGACACTATTTAAACTAAATGCTCATTCTCTCTATCTTTCCACATTTGCCGCATCACTTTTGATTTTTACCTGTGTTTTTTTTTATCAGATATCAATTATTAACACTTTAGGATAGATTCTTGAACTAATTTGAACTCGTCAGCGGTCCTGATTTTACAGCTTGATTCAGATTGTGTCAGTCAATTCCTCGCGCTGTTTCCTTTTTTGCTGTCTGGGTACAATAAATTACCTGTTCCTGTTTGTTACTCTTTTGGCAGATCTAGATCTTTTTTTGGCAACATACAATTCCGGTATGGTGGCCTCTTTCTTACTACTCTGTTTGGATCATATTCATTGGAATTCCACAATATGTTTGACTAACAAATCGGAACGGGTCATCAGTCTGCGTTATTTTGCTATTTTGTGCTTTCCACCGATACATATCATAGACGTTTGGCATTTTCCCCTACATTTCCCATGCGTATATTGTCCATATAAAAGGTTCCAAATAACATATACGCCCAAATTTGGTGTTTATAAGAACATGAAGATGTTTTATATATATACAAGCACTTAAAAAGTCATCGGTTGATATTTGGTGTGTGCAGTTTTTATCAAGCTCATACAAATCAATTGTAGAGATGTATTGGCTCGATGTTGTTGATTGGAGCTTGGTTGCATGTTCGTTGTTTTCGGTGGATATAACTGTCGCAATTGAAGATTCAGTGGTCGATCTTTCTTTTCTTGGTTAACTCTTGTAAACGGTCTTTAACATATGATACTCTTTGTCTTTGCCTTAGTGGCCCATGTTATTGTGTAACCTTGGGAGTCCTCCAAGCACAGCGATAGTTTTTGTTGTTTACGTTAAGTATGATGTACCATCGTATTACAATGAGAAATTATACTTGCATTTTAGAACCTTACGGGCCATTGATGCAATACTTTTGCAATTCAGACAAAAAAATATTCAAAATGAAGCACCATGTTTAGATAATATAATGCTCTGACGCTTGTCTTCAAAATCTTCACTTATTGTGAAAAAATAGCATCGATCACAGGTAAAGACTGCAGATTGCTACACGAGTTGTTTTAGTCGCATGCATATGTTAAATTGGCCGTTTATATCTGTAGGTCGTGAATATTATCACAAATTTTTAAAACAACTGAAAAATGTCTTTATAAAGAATTATTTCGTTACGCTGCATATTATTAATTTTTAAAACTTGCCTCTATTCTGATAAAACCTCTCTAAAGCTCTATCGATCTGATGTCTATTGTATCCACTGGCAAGAAGTTCAGAAGCTGCTGCTGGGAAATTGTTCCGTTGTTCATTCATAGTTTGGTTTATGACGACTTCTGCAAAAACAAATTACCAAAATATAATAGTTGTTTACCTTAGACCAATATCATAACTGTATAGAATAAATTGATATGAAATGGAAGAAAAAAAAGTTTCAGAAGTATAGTTAAACAAATGAAAGATGAATAACTGCTTATTTTACATATGTAGGTGTAAACACAAAGACACAGTTTTAAAGCTTAAGTAGTGCTGTACAAAATTCAACAACATTGTGTTGACAGAAACAGACTAAAATTCATTTCTCGAAAATAATGCTAAACTTAGACTGATGCATTATCAACTTACGGCTTATGCCAACGTCTGGCTGTACTTCATCTGCTGGTATGTTTTGTTGGTTTGAAGGTTGTGCTTCACAGTCTAAAGCATCGAAAGTGTTAATTGTACTTTGATATCTGCTTCGATTCGGATGTTTCCGCCGTGAAAAATCCAAAACATGAAATTGTTCCCGGGATAACTTGTTAGATTTACTCACTTTGTTATTTCCTACACAAAATTGATTACTATTTGTTGTTGTGTGTTGTGACTTGGCCTCTACTACGGGTGGTTGCTGTTCCTGAATTTCACTTGAATCAAACGAGGTTAAATGTTTTAAAATTGACAACCCACTTGGGGCTAAGGCGTTTGAATCAATGGGTCCAGATGATGGAAGATGAGAGTGTTCCTCCCTTTGATTAATATTTTCATGAACGGATCTGTCTAAAGAAGCATTACCCGCGTGTATGTCAATACTATGATCTCTATTTTGTCTTCCATTAATTGTCAAGTGGCTGTTGCTGGACTGATAATCCATGTCAGAAACTTCTGTCATAAAATGAGAGCTGCGTACCATTTAGTGCGGGTGAAGTATTTGATGACAGGTGATGTTCTGCAGATATAGAAGATCCAGTTCTATTTGTTCTTACACTAGGACTGACATTTACGTTTTCACTGTTATAGTCACAGATGCAGTCCGCTGGATCAATAACGTCGTGATATAAATTGAGAACACTATTTGGAAGTGATATTATTGCGTTTAGTGTTGATAGAGATGTTTCATATTGTCTTTGATTTAGGATATCGACATGGCTAATTGGAACAGCATATACAGTTATCACTTGGTTTATATTTAAGTTAAAGAAATTTGTTAAATACAACTGCCTAATTTGGATGCTGATATGCAATTCGTAGCCTTCTGTGTCATCAGAAAATACTGATTTATTGCATTTCAATTGCATTATCTACAACAACAAAAAACAATTTCTTATTTTGAATAATCATGAAAAGATATGATTGTTTTATAGCATTTTTTTTTGATATATTGAAACAAATTGCTATTTCGGAAGTTCGCTGCGTCTAGATTAACACTGGAAATTTTTGAAAGATACTATCAAATATCTTAATAAACGCTAGTTTGGGATTCATAAACCAGAAAATATTTGAGTATTACATTGTCAAAATTTATAGCAAACTAAAAATATGGGAAAATCTATGGTTCTTAGTTTCAATCTAGTACTTTAATCTGGTATCATGTAATTGAAATTTATAGCTGTACATAATGTTTAATCATGAGAAATAGAAGGAATTTTTAATGAAATTATAATGGAAACGTCGGAGAGAATAATAAATGCTTTCGAAAAAACAACCTCCGGAGATTTTTTATCTAATTATTGATTTTTGTACGATTTGCCTGCTTAAAATACACTAGCTTTGATTTAACTGTATACACATCTATCTAATGTACTAAATAGAAAATAATAAAGGTGTCATAAGAATGTAAAAAGTACAGAGTAGATTATCAACCAACGAGAATATGTGATACTCGCATGCTTTATTGTATTTTTGTCCCTGCCAAAAAGACAATAAAACGTAATAGCAAAACTATAACCATCATTAATCAATAAATTACTACTAGAATTTAGGAAAGGTATTATCTATTTTTCTACTAATCAATTCTTGACATTCTTTATTTGACACGCTTTCTATGACCCTTCCCGTCGTTACCCGTACCAAAGCAATCGAAAAAACCTATATTTTATGTATTAACAGTGTTGCATTTAACCATGTTTCCTACGAAGTTCACAGATTTTTAAGCAAGCATACAAAATGGACACTGGGTGTGTCAAAATTAATATTTGTGTTAGGATAGAGATACAAAAAGTAAGATAGATTAGAGTTGCCATTTCTTAAAAAAGTTTAAAAGGAGACCTCATTACGAAGTTTTCAGCACCTCTTTTCTTAGACCAATGATCAAAATAAACACGATGTAATTAATGTCCTTGAACGATGTATAATTTTGACGAAAAGCATCGATAAATGCAAGGAATTTAAGAGCATGAGATAAAATGAGACGTTTGTTCTAATACAAATCATATTTCTAATATACTATTTGTTATCATTTCACCCCAATTGAGAGAAGCTGAGATATATTGTAAAAATTACAGCCAACTTATCTAGTATTTGTAACATTTAAGAAAAGATGATCTATTCATTACTATGATATCCAATCTAATAAAGCAATATAAACGTACACATCCATACCTTTTATCAGAAGTCAATGTACACAAACATATAATGATGTGTATTGACACCATTCAAAGTAGGTGCGGTGACACACTAGCTAGTACCTCGTGATACGGAAGTTTGTCAAAAAGTTTAAATATCATATATTTAATAACAAAGTTTAACAAGTCACACTTGCGTAGAAATTAGTTACCACTTCAATCACAGGAAGAACCTTTTCCCTATCCAAACATAGTGTCTTTCCGCCATTTTCTACATAAGGAAATGAATGTAACATGTCAGGAATATGACAGTTGTTTTCCATTCGCTTGATGTGTCTGAGCTTTTGATTTTGCCATTTGATAAAGGGCTCTCCGTTTTGAATTTGTCTTGGAGTATTTTTGTTATTTTACTTTTTGATATTTTTACTGCAATAAAGAGTATTTGTCCATTTATATACATCAACCGTGCGTTAACCTCTAGTTGTTCGGTTATTGTTTAGTTTGATTGATTTTACATTATAATACACCGTAAATCTCTTCAAATTTATTAACGAGAAATATGCGGACAATGACTGGTCGATACCCTAATAAATGGAAAAAAAGACAAAATAAAGAAGCAAGCATCCGTCGGTCAATTGTTTATTTTTTCTAGACAACATCACTATAAGCCGACAACATAATCGAAACCGAAACCGATACCGAATCGAAACTGAAACCAAGGATAGTTGAGTGAGTTGAAATTCTCATCTGTAAATGTCAGTGTGAACTCATCAGTCTATTCATTTACATTGTTCTATATCTGAAAGTATTATATTGATGATTACTTGACACATCCATTCACACAAATGTTGTTAAATAGTGAAGATTAATTTAACCTCTACTGAATATACTAGCACAAGTTACACAAGTTGTATACAGTTTAAGATGTCGATATGACTCTAATGTTATAAACATTTATCATTAAGAATGTTTCGTCGAAGGAACTGTGTAGTTGTTCTACATACAATCTTTTTGCTTAAATCTTATTTTGGCGTTGATCATGGATTATCCAATTTGATAGTTTACGCGTCTCAAGATATATAAGTCATGCGACATTTTTGTCACAAAGGAAGTCAGATTTTAGACTTTTTATTTTTATTTCAGGCATAACCTGATTTAAATCAGTGTATGTAATGATGTCCTCGTACAATATTTTAGCAACTTTAAAGGTTAAACGAAAAAGAAGAAATGAAAAGGCCGCCATTACAACCTGATCAAATTACTTATTCGTACAAAGGAAAATAAAATCATTTTATAAATTTGTATTTTCGTTCGAAGCGTTTTTTCTAGATCTTCCTTCATCAGACATCATACTAAAACATGTGAAAGTCAAGGATTATAAGTACCTGAATTTGAGAAGGTAAAATAGATGAAGGGCTATATCACCAAAAAGGAACTAAAAAGAAATAGTCAAATCTTAAAAAGGAATGATGTTTCACATAAATTACAGGATACACATTTAAATTATTCGAAAATACCAGCGAAATAACTGATAGTTTTCCTGAAATGTAATGCATCCTCATAAAAGCTAGCAGAGTAATCTTCTGATGCCCTTAATATGGTTAAGATATTACTCTGCGTTTCAATAGCTATCTTTGATGATTGATGTGTTAATCAAACTTTAGTGCATGAAAAAGTATTAACAAAAAACTATCTCCAAGGTAAATTCAAAAATGGGGAAGTCATAAAACCTGACAAAATTAAACGCCCGACTATATCAACCAACGAAACGAATGGAAAACAACTGTCATATTCCTGGCTGTCAAGCTATCCACCAAATTTGGCCAATTATGTATCAGGTTTTGAATAAATTATTACATTCCCTTTTGCTGCAGAATGCTAAAATATAAAAGAGGATTGGCAGGAGTTTGAAGAAACAGTTAGATCTGCTGATTGCCCCAAATAGAAAATACAGAAAACCAGGATTTGTTTTATAGTGTTAATGCCTGTCCCAAGTCAGGAGCCTGTAATTCAGTGGTTGTCGTTTGTTGCTGTATATCATATTTGTTTTTCGTTCATTATTTTGTACATAAATCAGGCCGTTAGTTTTCTCGTTTGAATTATTTTACATTTGTCATTTCGAGGACTTTTATAGCTGACTACGCGGTATGGGTTTTACTTATTGTTGAAGACGGTACGGTGGCCTATAACTGTTAACTTCTATGTCATTTGTTTATTGGTGGAGAGTTGTCTCATTGCCAATTATACCTCATCTTCTTATTTTTTTTACATACATACACGTACGTTTTCAATAAGAAATAACCTAAATGTTATAATTTCATCAACACAATGGTTGTAACTACGTCCGTCACACATAAGATATAAAATGTTTTATTTTTGGACACCAGCTAGTAAGATGTCAAAGTTGCCCGAAACGTTAAGTGTTATGGTTACATATTTGCGTAAAAATATTGAAAAAACATTAAACTTTACAATTCAATTATGTTTACAACTAACGCTATAATAGTATCAGCAAGGATTGACATCTATGAAATGATACACATCAATATTTCTTAAGCAGTTGCTTAAAATGCTTTGTCTTTGATGAAATGATATTCCAGAAAAAGATGATGTTTCTGATGACCACTTGGACCCACCGAATTCTGCACTAAAAATGACGATTACTTTTGTAATCGAAGCGAATTCATTTTTTACATTCATTTTTCTAGCGGGACCTTTTTCAGTATCATTAACCATATATAGATAGAAAGAAGGTTGAAACATAGGATAATATTTAGAGATTCTATTAAAATAAATTAGTGCAATTGTGTGTTCAATGTGTAATATAACATCTTACAGATGATTGATTCATGCTTCTATCGAAATAAATCCAGCTAAAATAATTTACTTAAAGTACTATACTTACAGTATATGTTTTCAAACAGGTTCAACCCATCATTTTTTTCTTAAAATGTCCTGTACCAAGTCAGGAAAATGGCCATTGTTATATTATAGTTCGTTTCTGTGTGTGTTACATTTTAATGTTGTGTTTTTGTTGTGTCGTTGTTCTCCTCTTATATTTGATGCGTTTCCCTCAGTTATAGTTTGTAACCCGGATTTGTTTTTATCTCTATCGATTTATGAGTTTCGAACAGCGGTATACTACTGTTGCCTTTATTCCCTTAATATACGAAATATCAAATCCACCTGTTATCAAACTTTATGAATAATCTTTTCTACCTGACGGACTGTATGACACAAATTAATGAAATGACATAATACACTGTGTCGAAACTACCCCGGCAAAAAATGTTTTGACTCAATAGTATCTAATATCCGGTACGGTGACGGACCATCAACAGACAGATAAAAGGTAGGATTTGTGCTTTTCTGTTTGTTATTTTTATGATATTGAAGAATATACATACACATATAACTGTTTTC